GACGTTTGCAAAAATGATAATGTAAATGAGGGTCCTTTACTGATTATTGATAGCTTACCTCCATAGCCTCCGTAGCCACCATAACCTCCTCCAATGCCGCTACTACCATAGCCACCACCGTAGCCACCACCTTGATCGAATGTGACAAGAAACAAAGTTGATTAAATAGAATTAGTAGAAATAGTTTGAAAGAGATTAACCAAGAAAAGACATCTGGAAATCTTCTTCAGTCAATCGATTTTTTTTCTAAATTAATAGATTTCAATTTCAATCTAATTCAAGAAATTTGAAGAAAAAAAACAGGATAAAAACGAATAAATCTTTCAATTTAATACGAATTTTGACTTTTTTTCTTAGGTGTTCAAAGTGAGGCATATTCATTTATACCTAGAATGTTTGTACCCAATCCACTGCCAGGATATCCACCACCGAGGCCACCTTGTGGATAGCCAGCACCTGGGTACCCGCCACCTATGCCACCTTGGTAAATTCCATTGCCGCCGAAGTATGGCCGCTGCTGATAAGTCGGGTAACGGTTGAATAAACTGCTCAAATCAAATACTGAATCAAAGAGACCAATATGATGCGCTAGATTAATCATTCTGATTTTATTACACAATAAACAAAAGTGATATAGCGTTCAATACAAAACTTATCCATTACATCTTTCACTGGGTGTGTTCGATTGCTGCGGTCTCGCAGTTGCGATCGTCAATCCAACGATGAGAAGAGCGATAGAAAGCTAACAATAGGTAAAAATTGTTTTCGATTAGGTTTTTCAACTCAATTTATCTTTACTTTTAAGTGCAATTCATCATTTCATTGGGATTGTAAGCGATGTTGAAAGACTTGAAATTTAAAATGTGCAGTTTGCATCAGTGGAAATGTTTGAATTTTGTTTTTAGCGATTTTTTCTACGGTTTCGAGTTTCGACTCAATTATACCGCAGAATTTTTGAGTAAACTAAGAAAATTCATGATTTTATGGTATCATATTTTGAGCATACACCTCGTATAAGAACCAAATTTTCTTGTGGCGCCATCTAGATGGCTTGCGGGGCGCAATGTATTTTAAATTGTTAGCTAAGTTTTTTCAGCTTAGTACAGAACCATTTTTGGCAAAGATACAAAAGCATGCTCGAGGTATGGATGGTATGAATAGTATCTAAGGAGCTAAATCAGCTCCCGTTTATGGCTTAAGCCATACTAAAGCTATAAAAGAAAAATTCTTTGATTTTCCTCCAAATAATTTTTTATCGATAAAATCTTTAATTGTTTTTTGCATTGTTTGGTTCTGTTGATTTCATTTGGCTTTAAATGACATGGAATATTCAATTTTTATCGATTTGCATAAAATCTGCATTGAAAAAATTTCGAAACAAAAGAATTATAAACGAAGTCTAACGTGTGAAATAGGCAATCGGTTTTAGTAAATGCAATTATTTCATTCAAGAATCGGTTTTGAAATTTAAACTTTGAATGAAATGTTTGGGCGGGAACTTCCGAAAATTTACAAATTTTTTCACTTCTTTTTCTATTGGTTTGGTTTTCGCTGTTTAAGAATCAGTATCTCATTAGTTAAGTGAGCTGAATAAGTAGAATGAATACAAGATGAATATATTCTTCTGAAACGACGAAGCTTCCATGATCAAAATGAGTTTCAAAAACGGATGTAGACCAATTCCGCTTCAGATGTTCCGGGCAAAGTAACTATTCAAAAATTATTGCATCACCCATTACGTCATCAACCAAGAATTCAAAACAGTCTTAAAGATTGGATGATTTCCTTCGTGTTGGCGATAAATTCTTTCAAAGTGTAATTTTTAACAATAAAAACGATACGTCATCCCAAGAACATCTGATGATTTCATCAGTCTAACTGAATCTTAAGCAGCACGAAAGAAATATAATTACATCCGCGATGTATTGTGTTCGATTTGCGTGCAATCAAAACTGACCACTCGACTGAGTACGCGACTAGTTTTACGCCACTTGCACACCATTGCCATTCCGTACAATGGAAACCGATATGTGATTCAGGTGTAAACACCTTAACGCCTATCGTATACGACACCATGTACAGAGAAAGAGTCTGTAGACTTGAAACTTTTACTCAATTAGAGGTCAGAATCGGTTTTATTGAAGTCTCCCTTAGAATTTGACTTTAAAACAAAGTTTTTTTTCTTCATATTTCATTAAAAATCAAATAATTTTCTTCACATTTTATCAAAATTATGTATCGAAGACTTATCAACGAACTATTTTTTTACCAATTCAGATCATTTTTACCACTTCAAATTCTTAAGTTCAGATTCATTTTAACCGATTTTTATCTCCTTCATTAGATTTTTCAAAAGAATTTTTACTTTTTCAAAGCCAGATTCGCTTTTTCAATCAAATGTGAGTCACAAACGTGGTAAATTTGACCAAAATGGCAAAAATATTCAGAAAAAAATCGATTGAAAAATACAAAAAAAAAGACACTCCAATAGTGCTTTGAAGTCTGAGCCAAGCATTCAGAAGAAAAAAACTCAAGAGTTCAATATTCTAGTTTCAACGACATAAATTAATTCAAAGCAAAATTCAAAAAAATATATCACATTATAGACATTTTCCGACGATGAAAAGTGTGTCTTAAATGATAAACTAGAAAAATCAGTCCATTTTCAACCTAAAATTTCACTTTCTATGCAAACCAAACCGAAAAAAAAATTTATCAACCTCGAAAGTTCAATCGGAGACCGAAATTCTACTTACAATAGCGTTAGTCCAATTCATGTTTGTTATATTTGTTGCTGGGGCGCTGTGTCCGGAACGACTGAATAGCGTTGACTGAATGGAATCGCGAAAATCGGTAGGTAATTTGCAAGATCTGTTATCCGTTAAAATCTATTGTGAGTGGGAAAAAAGCGTATACACTGAAATCAAATGGATAGAGATAGACAAGCCATGAATTTGATTGTGATTTTTGGTTAGAGTTGCAACCGAGATAGAGATAGAGAGAGAGAGAGATATATTGAACGGAAGCTAATTTGAAAATGGCAAATGAGCACACACGGAGAGAAATATTGTTTTGAATCGAAGCCCATCACTCGCAATGCAAACGAGAGACGTTGAACCGATTTTTGAGACGGCGATGTGATGAGGCAAAGAGCGAAAGAGAAAAATTATGCACAATTGTGAGTGAGTGTGTATATGAATTCGCATCGAAACAATGGTGCACGCGCGCGCTCGCCTATCGTGTCCAATGGTTGATTTTCACATGAGAGATATGGCATTTATTATATTATCATCGAAACGGTATGAAAACAAACACGAACGACCATTTAATACGATTCGATTGCATTGACTCTTTTCACTACGTGTGCCATCAAAAAGATGCATTTTTCAGACGCTCACTGATTACATCGTAATTGAACGTAATTTTAGGCCGTGTGTGTATGTCGGTTTATAACAATGAGTCAATTGTGTTGCAAAGTGGCAAGAACTCATCAAAAACGGTTTGAATGCGTTTAAGAAGATTTATTACTGAAATTTCTTCACTCTATAATTGCTTTATTAACAAAAGCTGACGGAGTTTCTCCGCACAGAAAATTTTCCATACCGACAACAGCGAAAAATTGCACTTTCACACCACTAAATTGATGGTTAAAAATCGTTTCGATGTTATTCACTTGAGCACAACATGAACTGTGTGTTTGAGTGCCACAATCACTGCAGATATTTATACCTGAGCCCATTGCTCTGGCAGCCAGAGTCTGGCTGGTAAACAATGGATCGGAAATGATTCAATATTACGCACTATTTGCTATTTACACATGTCCGAACAAAAAATGAAGAAGATAATAACAAGACATTCGTCGCGTGCATTTTGCCGAAGAAATAATGAGTGTACATGTACAATGTACATGAAATCAGTGGGAACTATTTGGACCTTATCTTATCCACACATCAATTCTCTATTTGCATTTCAAATCGGCTTGTTTTATTTACCATATCGCAATAAAAACGCACCTTAACAAATGTGTCATGCCGCTTTTGTGTTCGGGCTGCATTTCGTGTTAGGGATATGTTTGCGGCGATTCTATTCAAACAACACAATGGCCACCCAAATGATGGGTTTCAATGATGAGCTTAAAATAACTCATTTTTATCAGGAAAAAAAACACCATAATCATTAAGCAAATGTTTTCTTGAATGACACACTACGGCGCAAACATGGTAGAATCCAGCGTTGTCGCCACACAATTATGCAATTCGAAAATATTTGTTGGTCTAGGTCGCAAGGTGATAGAAAATGAATTTGTTTGACGTGTTTGATAATGCGAGTTTCATAATGCCAAACTCATGAGAATTTGAAATGGAAATTCTTTTGTAATCAATTACATTGACCATGTTCTTTTTCTCATACAGTCAACGAAACGGAAAAAACAACAACTAAAGCGATAAAAAAATACAAAAACAATAAATAACAGCAATACTTTTACTCGCATCCAAAATCAGTAAACAAAATGTTCATTCTCTTGTTTATGCTTGAATCCACTTGTTCTGAATCAATGTACCGTTTTGTCCAAATTCTTGGCTTAGCAACAGAATGTACGTTTCTCATCTTCGACTGTGTGTTGTGTGACCGATGCACGCAAGCCACTTTGTTGTGGTTTCAATCCGTTATAACACAGCAGTGTGAATGAAAAAGAAATGCATCGCCATTAACTCACTTTGTTTACACCGGCATTCACTCACTCTCTCATTCACTCACAATCTCATTCACTCGCACTCTCGTTAAGTCAGAGAGAGATAAAAAACCAAACAAACTGTTTTTATGTACCATCAGTCAAGTGGAAAGTAGTGCATCACTTGTGAGATGAGTCACTTGCACAGTCTTTCTCCGATGTTCTAATTGAATGGTTGCAAACGACGCAATAACACAACTGAACGATATACTCAACGTAATAGCAAAGCAGTGAACAATAAAATAATTAGTGGATCGACAAAATCAAACCAAATTATTGGCGTATTGATGAAAATCGAGCAATTAGCTGCCGGAATTGAGGGAAAATCGAGCCGGAATTGAGGAAAAATCGAGCCAAAATTGAGGGAAAAATTGCCGCTAAAGACCAAGAACATTGAAGAGAAGTTGGAGAAAAGAAAAAAAGAGAGAAAAGTCGAAATAGAAAGGTCGAAGTGTTGCTGAAAAATGAAGACAATGTTGAAACTCCCACAGAACACCACCGGTACGGATGTGCCTTCAATCGATACGAAAAATGAGTCACCAAAAAAAGAAGAGCCGCTTGAACGTATTTTGACGGTGGACATCAAGACGATGCGTACTCACATGCGAAATGACAACTTCAACAATCACAACACGCTCCTGGAATTTTTCCGTAAGTTTTGACCATTTTTCAATTGAAATTGAAAGCAAATCGTATTGAGACAGTTTTTTCATTGGTTAGAACTTGAATGAGGGAAAATATGAGACAAATATGAAGAAAATTGAAAACTTGATCGAAAAATGTCCTTTTTTTGGAAAATTAAAAAATATGAAAAAATCTAACAAAAATGAATTCCTCTTCCAATTTAGCGAAAATTCATCAGATTTCACGACCTAATGAACGGACGACTTGTTTGACTCTGCGCTGTGCGGACAATATACATGTGCATACAATGCAAGCCAATTTCTATGGCGATATGCGACCATTCCAAACAGGTAAACCATTTCACAAACTGGAATGCATATAAATGGAAATCTATTCGAAATAGAGAAATTATGAGAGAATCAATCTAAAACTGAGTAATTTTTTTTGATGTTTTCAGGTGATGTCGTTCGATGTGTGGGCCATTTGAATGGTCAAACTGGTCAGTTCAAGATCATCAACATGTCTAAGATTGACTATGAGAGGGAGTTGGATGTGATCAATCGATTGATCGCCATTTCTAGCTTCGAGCTGGCCAAATTGCCGATCAAAACTCCAAACCAATCGCCAAAAAAGTAGAAATTTTCATCATCTTTGGTCGTGAAGTGTCATCAGCTCAGGAACCCATCGCCGAAGCGAGAACCTCTTTCATTTTCCAATATTGAACATTTTTTATTTTTTTCATTTTATTATTCTTTCAACAATGAACAAATACCGACATGAGAATAACGATTATTGTCATAGGACGCCTTTAGCAATTTATTGAACATATTTTATTTTATTTTTAGTAAACTTAAGTAAAGTTGTAATTTTCGTCACGAACAACACGTCTTTTGCCGTGAAATATATGTAGAATATATATCGTTGTGTGAAACATAATTTTGTGTGTGTTTATTTAATTGAACAAATAACGGCCAGACCATCAAAAGTCTCTTCATTGAAATAGAATCTCTTCATATTCGATACTTTGAGTCGAACTCTATGATCGTTCCAAGGAATTCAAGGGAATTAGAATAAATTGCATGTGAAAAGTCAGACGGTAACTATTTTTGTTATTGGAAATTAGAACGAAAAATTGGAATTGGCCAGTTTCACATTTTGTCCCCTATTTACACAAGTTTGCATGTGACATGTGAGGTGTCACTCAAAGAATCATGGAAAATATTGCGCAATAAACAAAACATCTCCCTTTGTCTGTATGAAGCAACAAAAATAGAACGCAATTGTTTCATTGCAAAGAGCAATTGTGTTCGATCGAAGCAATATCTTGTCAAATTGTCCGATACATGTCACTTGCGATGAATTGAATGCAATATTTTATGACGATCCTAAGTCATTTCGCAAACAGAATGATGTTTTTAAAAATAGAAGGGAGAGTAGAACAATACTATTCTAAAAATAGTCAATTTGCAATGCATAGTTCCAGCAGCTGTTTGTGATACGAGTGTATCGTTTATCGGTTGCGTGATAAAGAGATTTTTTTTTGCCATTGTTGAAACTGAGTCCCGATAAGAGATGAAACAAATTATATCCACACTGTGGATTCCACATATCAAGTTGTTTGCATGACAATTTATTATTTCGTGGTCATTTTATGATCTTATGGCAATTCTAGAAAACACCAATAAGACCCATACAAACAGCTAAAAACTGAAAATGTTTATTCAATTCATCGATGCACTTAAAAAAAGTTTCACTTTGGGAATTTCACAATCGTAACCTGTTCATGCCAAAGTATGACAGCTACTTGTTGACATTTCTATGTGCCGGTGTCAAACCGTATTGCAGTTGAATCAGATTGAATGTGTTATCGCGTGCCGCAACGAAGTAATAATACATTTTATTGAACAGTTTTCACCTTGTTCCTATTTTCTTTGGTATTTTATCGTAATTTTGAAATGTTTTTTTTTGTAGATGAAGCGAACCAGATCGGAAATGGCAAAAGCCGATGTGTCGAAAGAACCATCGTCAACAGATGACGTGGCACATCAAAATGTTGTGTCGATTGCACCAAAAAAGGTGACGAAATCACAGACAAACAGACATAGCAGTTACGTTGAATGCATCATCTGTGGTCATAAAATGGCATTGGCTGATTTGATTATTCACCAAAAGTCGGCTCATTCAAACGTTAAGGACATTCTATCTCGACTGAATGCTGGCAAATTCGTTCGATCTGAGACGAAAGCAGGCAACCCATCAAATGGAGCAGCAATGGTCCGATGCAAGTTTTGCAGAAATAAAATGCCCAGCACAGCCTTGGAAAGTCATCAGCGAAATAAACATTTATCTCAATATATTCGAATGCAAATGCATAGACCCTATGTCTCTGTTAATCAAACCAGACCAACTCATTTGCCGATTGAGAGTATCCGTCCAGAGCCTGAGCCGTTTCCAACAAAGAAATCGATGCTTAGTGTTGAACAGGATGATGATGGCTTTTTGGACTTAGTCTTAACTGAGAATTGATGATGAAAGGAAGCTATGAAGAAAAATACAATTCAGACTGAATATCGGTCGCATAAATCGAGATAAAATCGTTAGATTCTGACAATTTAATTTATTTCATTGAAATATAATGGCAAAAATGGACAAACTAACAATGTTCTTGTTTTATTTTATAACCATCAAACAGAAAATGTTCTGGAAAATGTGTTTCATTTTATTTTCTTTAGGGCAAAGATAATTTTACAATTAAAAACCTAATATTAAAAAGTGCGAACTATGTAAGTAGAACACGAATGCACAAATACTAGAAATTTTCCAATAAAAAGCGAAATTATTCTATATCTACAATTCTAAACTCCTAAGATTCCAATCTCTTCGTAATTTCTTTACACCGAAGTTCACTTTCAACCGCATCCATTCGCATGAGCTGTTGTGTTCTTTCGATTTTGGCTTTGAGTTCGACGGCCATTAGCTCTTGAACTTCGATCTGTCGCTTAAGCAGTTGAATTTGAAGTTCTTGAATCTCGGAACTGTTATTTATAGTTGCTGGAATGCCATTAAATTGTAATGATGCTTGATCTGCTAGTCTCATACGTTTAGCTGGCGGTGGGTGAGCTGAAGGTGATTTCGGATGATGGAAGGACTGATTCTGTGATGTGCTTTGATGAAACGAGTCCATCGACGATGTATCATCGGCAGCGTAATTGAATTGGTCGTTATTTTCATTAACCATAATCTCTTCGAATGATAAATCTGAATTTTCGACCGGTGGCTCTTGTTTGACTGGATTTGTAGCAACTGGGACTGATGTATCCATGATAAGTTCATCAACATCTGCAAAAAATGTATCCAAATATTAAAACAATCCTCAATGGTACGGCTAAAGTAAGCATTCATGAAGGATAAATCATTCAAAATGATTGTACCTGGGATTGGTCCCAATGCCGGGAAATCAACGCCCATAATCTCAGCGATGAGATTCATGAATTTTGGCTTTGGAATTTCTTCAGGTGCACGACCACTTCTTGATTGTGATGTTTTCAAATATTGTATATAATCGCGAATATTTGATTTGTCATTTTTCCACTTCATTTTTAAGCCAGATACTGTCCTATTCTGTAATTTACGTGCAAATGTCAAGCAAATTTGATAGAAAAATTAGAAAAAAACTCTTCTTTGTAGATAAAAAAAATGTTAAAAATCAAGTCTCACTTGTGATGTTTTAGTGTTAAACTGCTGGCACACGGCTTCCCATGCAGCGTTTCGGTCTTCATTTTTGTATCGATACGTGCCGAGATTCCTGCATTCAATGATGTGTGCGTACTTTTTTATGGCTCGAATCAGTTCAAGGCATTCAAAATCGGTGTAATTTTTTTCTCTGCTCCCTTTGGACACTTTCTTCTCTTCGGGCATGTTTAAAAGCACTGAATTCTTTGGTTTTATGGTGGTCAGCTGTAATGCAGTGCTTTAATATCCCTCTTTGAGTAGAATTGGTGGTTTCAAGTTGAAAGATTCACACGGCTTATTCTAGGCTTAAATGACAGAAACAATTGTTTTTCAGTTTCCACAACAAAGTAATACCGATTACACAAATTGATTGGTAGCCATTCACCTTGAAAAAATGGAATATTTAACATACCTTTCTCTTTTTCACTTCAGATAATTACCGAATTAATCCCCAAGCCAGCATCCTAAAGCCAATAAAAGTATGATATTTCATTGCGAGATGTCAAAACAAATAACTGTCAAAGAGACTAATAGAGCCAGCGCCGCCAGTGTGTCTGTTTGACACTTCATAATGAAGCTGTGACCGCTTAATTTTACAAAGCCATTGCCGAACAAAAAAAAATTTCTTCACTTTCGATGCAACATTTTGGATTTTTTTTTATTTAATAAATTTATATGGTATTTAAATATAATTTGGATACATTTTTTGCAGATGTTGATGAACTTATATATAATTAGAAAAAATTCTGAATTTTTTATTTTTCATTGAAAATAACCACATTTACAATAAGTTAATGATGAAATGTATGCAATTCAATTCAACCACACGGTTGAATTTTTGTGATTATTGTTGAATAAAGTTACAATTTTCATAGGTTTATCTGTAGACAGCTGCTAACAGCACAAAGAACAGTTACATATGGCTGAAAATATTACACTTTCTAGAAGTCAATAAACCAAAATAATTCTGCAGTTCAGACCTAAGCTTATCGCAACTAATTGCCAATACAATTTGTAGCCCAAATTACTTAAGAAACTCGGTTGGTGAGGGACAATGGGCGAGATACATATAATTTTCATGGTCTCCAATTTCAAAAATGAACAGAGGTCGGGATTTTGATACGCTATGATCCATCAACAAGGTGTACTCGGCGTGTTTTTTCAAAAATAGGATGATTATTTTCTATGATTCTAATCGTTTTGAAATTTCCCTACACCGTAGTTCACTTTCGGCTGTATCCATTTTCATGAGCTGTTGCGTTCTCTTGATTTTGATCCTGAGTTCCTCAGCCATCAGCTCTTGTACCTCGATTTGTTTGTCTTGAACTTCAATTTGTCTCTTCAGCAGCTGAATTTGTAGTTCTTGAATCTCTGAATTGGTATTCGCTGATGCCGAGGTACCATTAGACTGGAATAATGGTGGTAATTGGTTTGATTGTTTCGTCCTTTTAGGCGGCGGCGGATGTAAAGGTTGATTTGGTGCTGTTGTTTCATTGAATGAGTCCAATGATGAAGATTCGGCGATGTTAAAATTAAATTGGTCCGAATTGTCATTAGCCATAAGCTCTTCGAATGGTAAACCTGTATTTTCAATCGATGGCTCTTCTTTAATCGCCTGCACCGGAGTCTCTGGTTCACCCAAATCGATTTCATCGATATCTAAAAAAAACATGAAAAAAGCGATTCAATACAATATAGTCAGAGTGAGCGTTCTAAATGGGTGAACAAAGTGATTTTTACTTGGAATGGGTCCCAACGCCGGACAGTATGATCCGATTATCTCAGCGATGACGTTCATGAATTTCGGTTTTGGAATTTCTTCGGGTGGTCGGCCCGATCTCGATTGCGATGTTTCCAAATACTGAACATAATCCCGAATATTTGACTTGTCATTATTCCACTTCGATTTTAAACTAGCTACAGAACGTTCAACCTGTAAATAATATTATGAATTGAATAAAAATTCCAATCGTTTTTTTTAAATAAAAATTGAAACATAAAAGAAATAAAACCGATATATCTCACCCATCCGGTTCTAATGTTGAACTCTCGACAAATTGCATCCCAAGCTCTGTTTCGGTCATCATTTGTAATGAACCTGTGCGTGTACAAGTTCTTGCCGTCATCCTTGTATTCGATAATGTGTGCATATTTCTTTACGACCCGAATCAGTTCGAGACATTCAAAATCGTTGTAGTTATTGGCTCTGCTCCCTCTGGGCTGTCTTTGTTCTTCGGGCATTCGCATCGAGTTGAACATTTTAGGATGAATCTGTTTCTGTTACGGTCAAACTCAAGTATTTTTAATTGGAATGGGTCACAAGATGTTGTTAATTTTTGGCAATATTGAGTTTTATCAATGGACAATTTTGCGTATTGAAGTTGAAAATTCCGGCTTAAAATGAGGTACACGGTTGTTTCCATAAAGAAATACACGGATTCAATAATTCTCTTTCTGGCAAACCATAAATAATATCCCAGTCTAAAATATTTCTTTTCAATTTTTACTAACTTTCTTTCCTCTGCTTATGAAAATTCTCGAAACGATTTATTGTCATTTTTACGACTTATGCTTAGCGTCGATGAAAGCAATAAAAACACATTTGCCCCAGCAAAATGTCAAAACAAATAGCTGTCAAAGTGAACGACAGAGCCAGCGCCGCTAGTGTATTTGTTTGAGACTTAACATTGAAGCTGGGACCGCTTACATTTCCGCAAAGTCAGTGGTCCATTGGCCCGGTGGTTAACTGAAATTTTGTTTACAAAATGTTCGAGGCAGAGTTCTCAAAATCCATTTTATTTACATGAATATTCAATTCTGGTCCATAAAAATCCCGGATTTTTCAATTGACCTTCAAAAAGTATTTATTTTTATTATAAAAATGAGATATCAAATTAAATAACCCGTAAAACATTATTATTTTATAGATGTCAACTTTGGTAGCGCTCTATAACAAAAACTTGGTAGAAAAATAGGTGTAAAAATAAATTTGATTTAAAAAAAATATTGACTCCGTATTTTAACGATCTGCTCTTAAGAAAAAAATTTCTATCAAGACTTCTTCAAACTTTAACATTTTTTCTTTTGCTTATTACTGCTGTGGCCAAGCTGTGTTGGCTGTGGCACTAAATTAAGTTGCAGTGGCAATTAGTTGAAATCTTTGAGATGAATCCGACCATTGAGTTCGTAGATGCGATCAAGGCGTGTTAAACGTTCGAGTTCACTGGTACTGACGCAAATGTTATGGAATCCTTCAGATGGTTCAGTTGTGGGTGTTTCACTTCGTGCTTCGCCAAACTTGTCCGGGTGATATTTCAAGCGATGCTTTTCAATTCGATCCGATTTAATTTCTTTCTTGCAAACGTCACACTTTATCTTTGTCAAGACTTTAATCAGTTGAAACAGGTCAGTGCCGGCTGGAATATTGGGATGAACTCGTGAACGGTGTCTGTTTAAATTCGATTGGCTTATACCGCTGGAAGGGCAGGCCTTACCTAGGAGAAAGAAAATCAACAAAAAAAAGAAATGAAATTAGTGAGGAACAATGACAAACAAAGTGACAGGCCTTACATCTGTAAAATCTCGAAGTAGCATCGCTGTATATTGTTTGTTGATTGGCACCATGGATCGGATAGTCGAATGTGGATTGTTGATTGGGCTCAGGGTTGACGTACTCGGATGTCGACTGTGGATTAGTTTCATGGCTGTAAAGAGGCTCATGGCCCAACGGCACATTCTCATTGGCACAGTTAGCCATCACTTCTGGATGGAACAGTTCCAAATGTGTTTGAAAATTGCTTTCAAGTATTTCGTAATTGCAACACAAACACTGAAACTGTTCGTCAATCTCGAACAATTCGTACATATCCATGATAAAAGGCACTCGAGAATGCTTCACCGAATGATGATTAGTCAGATTCTCTTCGGGAATCTTTTCGCCACACGCTCCACACACGAAATGACGATGCTGGACACGGGTAAATAGCGAATCAATTTGGTTTTTTGGTGGATTCTGGAATACTCCCGCCACCGATGGGTTATTCCAATTCATTGCATCATTGTCACTCAGATTTGATAGGAACCAATCACCTTCAGTGCTATTGAAAAACTCCTGTGACATGGTTTTTACACCAATTTTCGATATCAACTTCGATTTGATTGCGATGCCATTCACATCAATGAAAAAACTGTGATTTTAGAAAAAAAAAATACAAAAAGATGTGCGACTCAATGACTATTTTGCGGCAAACTGTCACATTTCGCATAATCAGCTATATCAGCTTAATTGTGACATTTCCATCAATTCCAGTGTTATTGTTGATACACTTTCCAATGGAAGGCGCTCAAAGCGGGAAAAATTAAATGATTCGTTTTACCTAGAAAATATTTGATTTTATAAACATTTTTCGCTCTTTTTCCAGCTCTCTTCAAATTCTATTTTCTTCAATGCATAACATTTAATTTTTCGATTGTCAACGAAAATTCTTGATTTTTTGAGCTTTTATATCTAATTTTCGAGATATCAATTTAGGGACTTAAAGCTAATGCAGGCACATTTATTTCTAACATTTACATTTTCGTTGCCTTGTTCAAGTTCTAATTTCAATGTCAGACAATTTTACTAGAAGCATTTTTTCATTCACACAATCTGTGAGCTATTTTTTTTTCCTTCTGTTGATATTTTCTTTATTTTTTCTTCTTTTTCTTCATTTAGGTCACGCATCACCCTAAAATCGATTACTATTCTCCAAATTCAGTGATGACCAAGTCAAAGAAACCATCATCATCCTCTTCAACACTAACCATCGATTGGGTTTTAATGTAAATTGTCTGCGTTGGTAATGTAGCTGGCTTTGGCGTACGTTTTTCTTTCGGCAAATGCTCTCCAATTGTTGGTGCTTGCTCGTACTTCAGACTTTCATCATTCTTCGGCACATCATAGTCCTTCGGTTGTTGCTCATTCTTTGGCCCTTCATCGTTCTTCGATACTGGCTCATTCTTCGGCATTCGTTCGAATACATGGTCACCCTTCGGTGTATCCGCTACAGGTGTGTTGGTCACAGAGCTCATGGGCTGATTTGTCGTTGCCAAAATTTGAGCAATTTTCTGCTTCTGCATTTTGCTGTATTCCGTTGGATGTTTGCGTTTTAGATGGCGTTCCAATGATGCGCTGGGCATAGCATAATTGCAAAGGCTGCATGTAATTGCATTTGGTTCCGGTGGAATGAACTGAAGTGCTGAGTGAGCAGTCATTTGATGATTGGTCAAACGACGAAGTGGACCCTTCCGACCACAAATAAAACACGCAACTTTTGTATCAAGTGTAATGTCATCCGATTCACTTTCAACTTTCGGATGTGTCTCTTTTTTAGATTCAACCGTGCACCCTTCTCGTACATCCCATCGACTTTTCTTCTCGGCCATTGTCTGTGGTGATTGTACATCCTTCAGATCACTATCCGTCGAATCGAATTGACTTCTTTTCATTCTGTTAGAATGAGATTATAATATAAAACGATTCGATTTTCAAAATTGTATGAAAAGGAACTTGAAACAAAGTAAAATTGATTTTACAAAAAGACCAAATGAATGTGAAACATTTATATGTACTTACATGAAAGAGGAAGTGCACGTTTTTCTGATTCAATTGAGCCAGCAGCTCTTTGATTCAATCGACATACGATGTTGACACAATTCAATTGCGACTCAATTTAGGCTTGTCGTTCGTATCACGTTGCGATACACTGTTTTGAGAACACCTAAAAGTATCAATAAAACAATTTGAGATACTCTCTTGTGTTTTGTGCGAAGAAAACATACCAATTGGAAATGAAGTTAAGGCGATACTTTTTCCAATCTTCGTTGAATGGTTTAACATTTTTCCCTGGACTGCTGGTGAACTTATGCTCTAGCTTCAATGTTGTTACACCTCTTGATGAGCAGTGTTGCTATGTTTCATACTTTTAACTTAGTCTAATTGGTACAAAGAGCTTGTACAGAGGTTCATTCAGCTGTGAAAGAAATGGAAAATTTTGTAAAGTGAATGATGATTATGAGTAGCATAATTCCACGGGCCGCATTTGGTGCCAAGTTAGGACTAGTTTAGTATTTAGAAATTGGTTTCCAATCTGACGTTGACATTGGAGTCTAATTGGACATGAAATTCCTATCAACTTAGGGAACATCACTATATGTGTATTTTGGCAATGCTGTACGTTGTCAATGTGTACGTTGTCAAGGTGACATATCTTTGCCCGTTTTTTCATGAATCTTTTTTATTCAAACTAATTTTATTCCAAAACTGAATGCAGAGCAAACAGAACACCGCTGTTGGCCAAGATAATACCTAACACTCGTCGCATGTTTTGACATTACACAAGTGTACGCATGATTATTCGTTGATATCTAATCAAAATCAACGTTTCAATGAATCTGCATGACAAAAACTATGTCACAAAGTTGGATTTTTTCAATCGATCGAATCAATAACAATGACTCATATCGATCGGAATGCGTAAATATGGTTTTATTGCGTTGAATTCATGATCAAAACATGCCAAGTCAATGTGTATCAAACACCGCAGAAAAGTAAACAAATCGGCGATTTGGCATATGTCATTCATGCTTTACTTACTCGTTGTTCAAATCACAAAATCACAACTTTCGATTCAACACTAGCTGCTGTTCCCTTAAGCAATAAGAAAATGCTAGTTTTTTTTATGATTTTCATTAGAAATCAAACAACATTTCGAACAAATCCAGTTATCAATGACACTTGTGCTGAGACACATTTAAAGCACAACGAATGTCGTCGTAAAGAAGCCAATTCAGCAAACTGTATACATGATACTGAGTATAGCAACACATTCAGACGGCCAATGTTAATGGTGTGATGCTGCTCACAGCCTTACTATTATGATGTGCGTCAAAAGAGTGCACAGCATAAACCATTGCAATGCAATCGGCAATGTGAGTGAACGAGACGAAAAAAATATTGTGACAATAATGTGTTGTCTCCGTTTGAAGGAGCGCACACTTCTTTCTCAGTATTTTCTCGGAGATTGTGTGCTACGTTAATACTTTCCTTTCGATGAGTTGACTTTGCATCGAATAACACCGCTAACCTGACAGCAACAACCATACACTCACCAACACAAGTACGAATGCTGTTGCTTATTACGGTTCTCAGTTTTTCACATTCGATCAATTTGGTGTGTGTTTTGTTGCTTACAGTCAAACTACAGCGGCTACATAGTTATATTGTGGCGTCGCATAAAACGCAAATCACATTTCACTCATGACAAAAAAAAATATTTAGATCAAATTTTGCACCGTTTATTATAATTGCAAGGCGATACGACGCAAATAATTCCAATTTATTCAAGTACATTTTATGTGTGTGTTTTTTTTAAAGTTTGCTATTTTGAATAAACTTTGATTCAACGAAGAAGAAGAAAATTAGCTCACAATGGATTCATCATTTGATAGTTTGAAGTATGAATCGGACATCAGTGAATCCAGCGAATCGGTGAAATCAACAAAGGTAAAATTCGCAATGAAAATTTGATGCAAATCATCATTTTCAACCAAAATTCAATGAGTGAATGATAATTTTTGAGTGTTTTTTTTTTACAATAAGCGATTGATTCAATCGTTTTAATGCTGGATTCAATTGTTTTTTTCTTAGTCACGCGGTAAACCTCGACGAAGTACTGCCCGTCGTCGCGATTCAATCAGTTCGACACACAGTCAGCCGGTACGACGCAGTCAACGGCTTAGCACGCTATCAGAAGTCAAAACTGAAGTAAACGCCAACTATGACGATGATGAAAACATAAAAAAGGTAATGAATGGCTTTTGTTATGTTTTTTTTTTCCTTTTCCAAACGACCCAAGCCATATTTTGCCGGCTTTTTATTCAATTTCGGCTGACAAAGAGATAAAACCAAGATTTGGATAAAACATTCGTTGTCAATAAGCCATTGGCTATTTTTATCGTGTTTGATATAGGACTTTTCGTTGCAAACCGATTAACATGTACATTTTTCTCTCCGTTTTCAATAGCAAAAGTGGGCTATGAATGGCAAAACAATTGATCTGTCCGACACAAAGCCGGGGTATGAAAATGGTCACGAAGACATCAAAATATTGGGCGCTACTGAAGTCGATGGTCAACTCCAGTTCATGTTCACGTGGAAAGATCAGGATGTGCCACAGCTCATTCCGAACAAAGAGGTCAAAATCAAATATCCCCAAGCACTGATGGCGTTCTACGAAAGTTGCATGGTAAGCCAATTGAGAGAGAAAGGGAAAAAGAAAAGCATGAAAGATTCACTCTTTGAGAGAAGCATGAGAGTTTCTCTCATTGGGAGAAGAATGGAAAAATGAGGAGACAAAGAAGAAAATGAATGGAATATTCCAACTATGACACTTAACAAACCAAAACTGTCTCGAAATTAATGCAATTTGTTTTTCGTACAGGTATGGGATGTCTCAGAAGAAGGCGAAGTCGATGCCCCTGATGTGGATGGCACTGGGGACAAATAACGACTACGCCGACAGTGCACTGTGCTATTCATGAATAGCCACCAGCTTGACTCTTCAATTTACCAAATCCAGTTTAAAATTAATCGAACATTGACAAAAAATTCTATTAAGGACTAATGAAAATTGAATAATTTTAAGAATAATATTAGCGCACGTAAAAATTTCGGCATTTAGATAGACAAACAAACAGACACCAACACATTTTGTATGTGATTTAAGTTAAACCTGTTCATCATTAGAACGATGCATGTGAGCAAGAGATCGTAAAACCATAAACTTTTGACATTTTGATATGGATTCGACTAGAAAATAATGAAATAAGGGAATTTTCGAAATATCACTCAAACGAAATTGGATTGCAACGGACTAAAAGCAATGAATGAACGAAATACATGACAATTTTAGACGTTGTACCATTTTCTTGTGTGATCATCCTTTGAAGCGACTTTGGTATTAGACAATAAAAATAAATGCGATTTTCGATTAAAATTGTGGTATTGTTTATTGTTAAAAAGTAAATAAAGGGCGTTTATGCCTGAGCTTAGACTTTGTTCTGACGATTCTTCGGTTTGATTTTCATTTTTGATGCATTTTTCTTTCTGTGTGTGATGTAAAAAGCCACGACGATGATTGAACTGTGATGAACACTTGGGACATTGGAATGGCACAGCGTCGAAATTTTCCAGATTGGCAGCAAATTGTACCGTTTTTCGATGGGTACTCTTGCTCGTCTCCGTCTTCAGAATGCCGTGAAAGGCTGGACATTTGTGATTCTTCAGACCTCCCGGATGTTTATACTCCTTGAAACACTCTCCAGATTCGAGCGACTTCGCCGTATTCACCGACTTCTTGGACTTTTGTGATGCTTTGTTCGGCCTTTGGCCATCAGCTGACGGTCGCAAATCTGTCTTCTTTTTGGGTTCCTGACACTTTGGACTGACATCCTTTTCCAGCTGACTTATCAACTCATCCAGCATAGTGTTCAAACTCCCGGTTTTGTCACTTCTCTCTTTGACCATTTTGTATTGGAAATTTTGATTTTTCTGCAAATAAAAAACATGATTGAAACCATGAACAGAATAATGTGCTAAGACTCTAAGAAGATGGCTGAGATGGTAAATAATTATCCTAAACGAGAGAGAGAGATTCTTAGAAGAATGAATATTGGTGTTGAAAAATCATTTTTAACGGTCTCGTTATGACTATGTTTGGTATGAACTGCACACATTTTTAATCAGAAACTTACCCAACAAAATTATACTCAAATACGAAATACAAAGTACTGAATATCGTTTCCAGTTTTAAAAAAAATCCATCAAAAGCAGTGAGTAAAAAAATTCACGTAAATTCCATTTAAAAAATTGAAATAAATCTGCCGAAGACGTGCACGCACACGCTGCTGCGATGTTTTAAGGTTACACAAACAAATGTCGACGATGAGTGGTGTTGACAATGCGCTCTAGTGTTTGAGTAAGTAAACAAATGATGCGCACAATAAACTGATTGAAGCGGCGATTCAAAACGTATTTTGTTTGGCAGGCAAAGCAGAGTGTGTGTGCAGAGTTGCTGCGTCGATTGAGAGTGTAACATTTGCACTGTGTGCACAATATGTTTTTCATGAAGTGGGCGAACGCTGCTATTTGAGAGTGTTTTATCACTCTGAGCTGGCGATGAAGAACAAAGAATGCACTGTTGTGCAATATTTTCAACATAATCAGCACGATGCAGTGTGAGTAGAGTGGACAGAGTTTTGTTTTCGTTCAATTTCCCGTCGACACGTCATTCGATCCGACTCGACTTCAGCATTGGTCGATACATTCGAGAATATTCCCGTTCATTTTGCCAATGACGCGCAATTCGTGAGTTCATTCCAGTTTTGACAGCCACCGAGAACAGTCATAGATCGAACAATTCCAGCAGACCTTTGATAAGTCAAGTGGACTTTTAATAAGTGGCATCAAATCAGCAAACAAATTGTTAAGTCGCAAATAAACCAATATTGACCAGATTTTGGAATTGAACAAAGAAAATCACGGTAAATGTGTGTTACAAAAAAATTGCAACGTGAAAAAATGTTCAATCCCCAAAACTTCATTGAGTTGATACGACAGATGACAGTCGATTTGGACCAGCTGAAAAATTTGAAACAGCAATTCGACGGCTTTGAAGGTAAATATCGAATTGAAATATATGAATTCCATTTGTTTTGGTATTTTTTTACCCAATTGATAATTAAAATTTAGCAATTTACTAATTCTGTTGATTCCATTCATATGTTTCAGCCCAATTGAACGTCATCAAGCAAGAGGTGGAAAGTCTTCATCGTGGGCCACTGCAGCGAATGTTCAAAGACGCCATGGAGCAGCACGCAATGCGACGTCAGTCGTCGATGAATGGCCATTCGAACGGATACCGCACCAGCCAACGCAAGTAATTGCAATTGGGCTTGAGTATGGCGCGAAAGGAGGAGCTGTATTTGTGCTTTGTCAACCGATCAACTCCCAGACAATTCACGTTCAATCAATAATATTTTTCAATCGATTTTTTTGTCCAGCAAAAAGATGGGATTCTAAAATACACATGAATAATTTCTAAAATGTCATTTTTCCAATTGAAAATTCAATAAAAATTGCGAAAAATCGATTCGTCTAATCGAACAAAATTGTGTGAGTTTTCTTGATTTTTCTTAAAGAAGAATGCAATTCCAGAACAATCGCCCTCATTGTGTGACAGTTTTTTTTAGCTGCAAACAAGGTTGGTTCTTGTTCAAGTACTTACGATCAAACATTTCATTCAAACAAGGTTTGTTTTCGGCTTTTGAAAAACTTTCAGCTATGAATGGGCTAGAAAATTTGTCGCCTTAGAGAGAAAATAACAGCATATGGAAACAGTTGAACTTTTTTTTAAAATCTTAACTTTTAGCGCATAAAAATGTCAAAGAAAATCATTGAATTTTTCGACGTTCATAGATTTTTCCGACTCACTTTTTACGTTCATCACTCTTTTTACGGTCTTCATCATAATAAATCAAATACAAAATACATTTTTTTATTGAAGTCTTTCAATTCTGGCAACATTGAGCTTAAAGGTAAAACTATAACTATTGAAAGTTTATGGTACATTTTACGTTATTCGATAATCTTTAAAAATAAGGTCTCTGTTTCAATTCCAACTCAGTCTCTTCCACCCACATCTCACTCAGATGTGCCTCTGTCTCCTTCGCTGACACGTCTTTCGATGTCGCCACAGTGCACTATTCTGGCTGAATGTATCGCGACAAATACAACATTCAAAGGTTCTTTCGCCCGTATGTATTATCTCGTGTATTTTCAAATTTTGTCGAGTTTTATAAGTTTTTGGACAGAATTTGCACAAGAATGGCTTTGAATAGGGGTGGTCACTCTGCACATGTCTATTCAGCTTTGGTTTTTCTGCAAATTCTGCATGGCAAAAATCGCATTTGAACATCTTATTTGGATCTTTTACTTCAATTGCACGGCATTTCACACCAACGATATGGGCTTCAATATTTCCGTTTGTACCATTTGGCACAATTAACGGATGACCATTCACTTGATGAAAATCGTTGTCATCATCAAAACAGCAAAAATTCTCCAAGAATGTTTCAAAATCGTATTCATCGTCATGTATCGAATTAGATGTGCCTTGGTTGACTTCTCTGATGTCATTCGTCACTATGTCATTTTTTCCAGAAGAATCTCCCGGAATACTTTTGAAAGGAAGACTCGGTTTCTCCATTGATTCACCAACATTCATTGATGTTTCCTTGGCATATATTTCGATCGGTTCAATCTTGACAACATTCAGTTGTAGTTCGGATTCAAAGTTGCCTTCAGTTGAATGGATTTTATCTAGTTGCGAATTCTCCGTCTTGTTTGCTTCGACGGAATGACTATTCTTATTCTTAGAACTACACTCGCCGGAATAGAACAAAAGCCCGGTGTCTTCTAACCCACGATCACTTTCAGCATTTGACGACTTCGCGCCAGATGGACACGTTTGGTCCAAAATTCGTGTCAATAATTGACACCTCTTTTTGTGTCTAAAAAATGAACCGGAATTGCCGAATGTTTCTGAACACAACAAACACTTGAACGGTCGCTCGCCGGTATGGCTTCGTTCATGGGTTTCCAAAATTCCCTTTCGTTTGAGAACATTAGAACAGTATTGGCAGGGGAATAACTTAGAGTCGGGTTGTTGCAAAATGCGTGAGTTTGGAACATTTTCCAAAGAAGCTTCACATTCAATATGAGTCGGTATGTCTTGTTCATTTTCAATCTCCAATGATTCATTCATTGTTGCATCCTCGTCACATATATTGATCGGTTCGTCTTTCAATTCAAACGGCTGTAGCTGTGATTCAAAGTCAGCTTCAGTTGAGTTGATTTCATCTAATTGTGAGTTCTCTGTCTTAATTGCTTCGATGGAATGATTGTGCTTATTCTTAGAATTATTCTCGCCAGAATTGAACAAGGGTCTGTCTTCGGATCCACAATCACCATTCGATGACATCGAATCAGGTGGGAACATTTGATCGACAATCTGTGTCAATAATTTACACCTCTTTTTGTGTCTGCAAAATGAGCTTGGATTTGAGAATTTCGTTGAACATATTGGGCATTGGTATGGTTTTTCCCCGGTGTGGATACGTTCATGAATTACTACTTGTTGTTTCGTTGCGTATTTTTTTGGACAAAATCGGCACTTGTACACATTATACACAACCATTTCGATAGGTGGCAACGGAATGTCTTTCGAATTTTCTTCAATGTATACCTAGGAGAAAGAAAATCACAAAAGAAAGAAATGAAATTAGTGAGGAACAATGACAAACATAGTGATAGAATCAATGAAAAGTGAAAAGAAAGTGGGATCTCGATTATTATGCATACATCAAGCGGACGATCGTTCTTTTCTGGTAATGCATCTTCACTCTTAGCGCTTCGAGCAGCTGCAGGGATTCGTTCAACTTCGTCAACACGTATCTTCCTTGTGATGGTACGTTGAGCCCTCGAATGATTAAACCGACATCTCTTCTTATGCCTACAAAACGAGCTTGGACATGAGAATTTTGCTGAACATAATGGGCATTGGTATGGTTTTTCCCCAGTGTGTATCCGTTCATGAACTACTAGAAACTGCTTCAAAATAAATGTTTTTGGACAGAATCGACATTTATTCGCCAAACCATGGATAGTACTGGGCTCTTTTGGCAAGATTTCATTCGAATCTTCTTTAGAGCTAATTCGAAGTGGCTGGCCGTTCTTTTCTAGCAATTTTCCTCCATTCTCAGTGAATTGGGTAACTTCATGAATTTGAGTTGCCTCAGTCGCGTCATCGACATGAATATTTCTCGGTGCGGTATCATCAACACTCCCACCATTTGATTGACATCTTCTTTTGTGTCTACAAAATGAGCTTGGATTTGCGAATGTTTTTGAGCATGACGGACATTCGTATGGTCTTTCGCCTGTGTGAACTCGTACGTGAATAACTAGTGATACCTTATCGGGATATTCTTTGGAACAAAACCGGCATTTATAAACAGAGTAATTCACATGGGTCGTTCTGGGTTCGGTACTGTCAACACTTTCATGCTTCAATTTGCATTTTTTTCTGTGACAACAAAATGCGCTTGGATTCGCGAAGCTTTTAGAGCAGTAAACACACATATACGGTTTATCGCCCGTGTGATTTCCCTCATGATATTTCAACAGATTCGGATCATTGAATTTCTTCGGGCAATATTGGCACACTAATAGTTTTTCGTCGTGCGTTCGTTTGTGTCTTTGTAGTTTCGAATAAATTGAATACTCGTTTGAGCACACATCATACTGAAAACACTCCTTCTCGGATGAATCACCCTCGTATTCACATTGTTGTGTAATATTCCCCCGATTCACATTGTTGTGTGTGTATTTGTGCTCATGCAACGCCTTGCGATTCGAACAAATTTTCAAACAAATGTCACATTGATATCTTAATTGGACGGTGGCTGTTTCGTAAATCTCAACAGATTTTAGCGATGCGAAATCTTGCAAAGGCTCTTCTTTGATAACATTCTCGGTTTTTATAGTGTCTGAAAGAAGGAAAGGATTGACGAATATTAAATCGATGATGTAAGTAGAAGAAAAAATGCAGGAACCCTTTTCGTATGTCTTACTAAATACAAATACTCAGCACATATTTTCTGAGTAAACACTCACCTACAGCCTTCAATTCCAGTGGATTTATTTCATTGTTGAAATTCACTACACTGAACCGTTCTTCGTGATTTTTGGTGTTGAGATTTGAGCTATCGACGAATACAATTGGAATACTTTGTTGATCCGCCTGATTACTTGCTACAGACTCCATGGCTTTGCTGCAATCGTAATTTTCTTCACCCGGACTCGATAGTTCCATTGAATCCAATATGGAAATTAGCTAATTTGAGTCGATAAATTAACTGCTACAATATAAATTTTGAACGGTAGTTTTCATTTTTGTAAATTTACCTGTGTTTTCAGCGAATATTCATTCGAAACCAACGTGTTTAATGTAAAGTTTTGTATTGTTATTTACTCGTTTGTTTATTTTCTTTCTTTTATTTTGACAGTGACAGATGGTGGTCTTCTTCGACGCTTCCAATGGAATGACGGAATGACATTTGATTCAATCTGAAGGACGGTTCACAGCACAATAGCGCCAAAGTATGAAAATTTGCATTCATCGAATGTTTGAACAGAATTATTATCAATAAATCGCTGATTTGTTCGACTTTTGATAGTTTCAAATGTGTAAAAGGTTAAAATCATGATTTAGTTCTTAATTTAGGGAAATTTCATTGAATTTTTCTTTTTCAAAACTTATTGTGGTACACCACATACATACATACGTACGTACAGTGGTCCACAATAATGATGAGTGATATTCATCATAATGTAAACTTCACATCGCATAAGACCTCAAAATCGTCCTAATTGAGTTCAGTTTCATGTGGTTGGATACTACATCCTTTTTTTAATTTTGTTTATTCCTTTTTCATTCATTCTCTGGCTCACTGTCACACTGTCTCGCTGTTTCTCTTTCTCTCTGTCTCTCTGTCTCTCTCTTTCTCTCTCTACTTCTCTCTTTAATTCTCTCCTTCTTTCTTTCCATTTCCATTCATATTTGGAAAAAAAAATTCCTCTTCAGCAACACCTTTACAAAATTTCCAGTCAACTCAACAAGCAATTGAAAGCCATGCTAAGAAAACATCATAAGACTCTGCATCCACTTTTGTGCAATACAAAAGCTACAGCTATTCAAACAGAATGTGGAATGACAAGTAAAACATTTCTACTGGACAAATTTATATGACACTTTGACGTAGTTCCATGTTATTTCCACAGATGCAGAATATGCATCTTTGTCATTTGTCATCAAGCAGTCTCACCGGCAACATCTTCCTACATTTTCCACAGACGAACTCATTGATTGATAAAGCAAACAAAGAGCTCTTTGATATCTGATTGTTTCTTCGGAGATGAACGTGAGTGTTTTTTCTGCAATAAAAATTTACTCGCAATAAAATATCTAAATTTTGATTTGGTAAATCAATGATAATTTTGGAGAAAAGAAAACTTGCGTCTAAATCGAAATTAAGAACAAATTCGTGCTTTGGATTAAAATTCGTACAATTTCTATTTCAGGCCATGTCGTTGTCAACGAATCGTTTTCGTAAGCGAAATCACAATGGTGAGCTGATGGAAGTAGAGCAGCCGGAAAAATTGCGCTCTGTTGAATCGAATGCACCAATCAAGCTCACTGAGTTGAATGAAGAATGTCTCATGCATATTATGGGTTTGCTGAATCTTGATGCCTTATCGGTAGTTGCTCAAGTGAACATGCGACTCAATCAATTGGTCTACAATTTCTTGGAGGAAAAGTACGACGTATCCAAAGTGTCACTTTTCACTTCTGATCAAGCTCAATGGCTTTGGTTGGGTGGCACAACCGGCAAATTCATCTTCAAAGATCTCTCAGATGTCACCAAATTCTTCCGCAAAACTGGCGATTTGATTACATGCTTATCAATCTCTTGTTCACCGCACAGCAGCCTCTATCACATGTACCAAATGGTGGAGAAGTCGATTTTCGAGCACTGTTACGAGACACTGACCAAAATCGAAATCGCATCAAATCTGTTGCCGGTGTTGAGCGAAGTGACCAAGGTGTTTTACAACGTTGAAGAGTTGTATCTGCATGGATGTGAGCTGAGTGAGAATCTTTCGCAACAGTTTGACATTTATTTCCCGTCGTTGGTTCGACTGACTCTGATTGATTGCAAAACACGCGATCCAAAGTGCATTGAAACGCAATTTGCATGCTTGGAAGAACTGACCGTGGTTGGCAAGCGCAAAAATCGAATGGTTTTCAAGAAAACTAATATCAAAGAAGCGATTCGGCGAAATCCGCAGCTTCGACGCCTCGTCGTCGATTTCAACTCAACCAACGATCGAGAAGCGGCCAGCAATGACAGTGATTATGAATTGGATTCGGATTTCTATCGATTTGTTAGTGAAGCATTGCCAAAGTTGAAAAGTTTGAAGGTGTTTGGAGAACGAAAACATCAAGTCGACCCAACAGAAGACGACATCGAGTTTTGGCGCCTGAAGAAGTTATCGCTGCATTATATTTACAGCCAAGATCCAAGTGCTATTGCACCATTCAAATTCAATCGACTTCGCGAGCTGAAACTTCAACACATGACAACGTTGTCCGATGAATGGGTGCAATTCATCATTCGTAATGATTGTTTGGAGAAGCTAACGGTTGATATCAAATGCAGCTGGGAGGATGAGAATGAAGAATCACACCGCATTCATTCACAAATCGAAAAAGAACAATTGCTCACGATTGTTAAGTGGCTGCCGAAATTGGAAGAACTCCATTTATCAGCTGGAGCTGTCGATACTAAAGACATTATGGCTATTCTACCGAAACGAAAGTCACTGATGAAGATTTATCTTCGCGATTACAACGAAATCGATTCAATTGTTGATACATTCGACAAATTGACGGCCAAGAAGAAATGGTTGGTGGACTATGATGCACAAAATCTGATTTTGAAGCGCTTTGCATGATGGAAATAGTAGTAAATGACTTTTTGTACTTAACTCAATATTATGCGCAAAAATTGTTTGGAAATGTAATGCATTAGAATGAAAATAGATTGGTTTCAATGTTGAACAGATCCATATATTGTTTTCTCAAGAATTTATCACAAAACAAACGACGAACCACCAGACTATGAAATAAATAAAATTCAATAGGAATGGTTTGATTGTTTTCTTCAAAAAGTAGATTTCGAACAATCATGACACACAACTGTCAATCGCAACTACGATTGCTCATGACTCCATTGATATGAAAATGCATTCCTTTTTTTATGGTTGAATTTTTTTTTTCTGTTTTGGTAGTATTCTATGATTTCTATAGATGATGGGCCGATGATGAAGTTGAAGAAGTGCTCGAACTGGAACCTGGTATTTTGAATGACATTCGAAACAATGGTTTTGACCTGTTGACACTTGAATACATATTACGTGCAAATACTGATCAAACCTGGTTGATGAGGTAAAAAAGTAGCAATTAAACAGGTTGCACCGTAGCGGTGTCTTTAACATCAGATGCGACTCATGTTTGTATTTTTTTTAAACAATATTCACTTATTTTCTATACTTTTGATTCTCTGCAATCGAAGTTATTTTTTATTGTATTCTTTATTTCATGTTCATCTGTTGTATGTATATTGTACAAAAAAGGACGACGTATCACACAGATATAGTTATCTACGTTTACATTCGCAAGAACCTTATTATGTGTCGTTGAACAGTTAAGTGTTTTTAAATCGCCTGACATATGACAAATGACGAGCTAGTAAACACATCTGCGTTGTTCCCAAGTTTATCACTTTTTTTTAGTAGGGTAATGTTGTAATGAGTGATCCATCGTAATATGTGTGGGCCACCCAACCGATTTCGATGAAATTAAAGTGAAAATGTCACGGTTTGGCCCTATCAAAAAACCTTAACATAGCGAATCTCGAAAATATTGCAAGTGTTTTTGAGTGCAAAAAGTCATCGGTATTTTTTTTTTCTGTAGAATTGCGTGATTGTCTTACGCAATTTTCTGTTTTGGCTCTATGAAAAAGTCTGAAAATGCTGTAAAATTTCAATCAAAACTAACTTTGAATGGTTTGTTCTAAAAATCCTAAAATAACAATTGAAAATAAATGAAAATTCTGTGAATAAAGAAAGAAGGAAACCAAAATGCATTCTTCTACAATTGTTTTCCATTTTTCTCACGAAAAAAGGCAAAAAATTTATTGATTAAAATTCATGAAAAAAAATATGGTGTATGGAAACGAAATTCTCCAAAAAAAAATTATGATTGTTGCAAACGATATTTGGCGGCGCGTAAAATAGCGAATTTATCGTTGTTTGTAGTGCATGCACCTCGGAAGTCATCGTTGTTCAAATCATGAATTGAAACGCCCGCTAAGTTTTTATTAATAACGTATGAGGCTTTGCTTTGAGCTGTTTCTGGATCTTCATATCCAATCCAAATGCCATATTTTCCTTTGTCATCGGGAAGACGATAAGCATAGCTGCCATATCGCAATACTGAGTCGCGTTTTGGGATCAGTGCTTTGTGTTCACCAGTTAAACCAGTATTGCTTGGGTTTGGCAAAAGTGTGCATACTTCTGGGTAAGTTAAGAAACCAGCTTGGTTCGTCTGAATGCCAGCCGCTCCAGGTTTTTCAACCTAAAAGAAGAAGGATTGAAATATATTCGAATATGTATCGTTGTAATAAATCAAATCAAATAAAAACTTACTTCCAAAATGGGTGGAAGACCATTTACGGTGGAGTCTTTTTCTAATTTCCAGCTTCGGCCATGAGTTGGAATACCTACAATCAATTTGTTGGCCGGAGCTCCTTTTTGCAGCCAAAGAGTCACTTGAAAATCAATATTATTCTCCGGTATACGATCAGTTGGTGCATAGATCGGTGCTGGATAATCGACTTCATTTGGATTTCGATCCCATGTTTGATAATCGTAAGCGGCAAGTATGAAATAGTCAACATTCGGTGTTAAACCGGCTACATCGTAATGCACGGTCGTATTTTGATTGGGCAACAGCGTAACCGTTAAAAGATAATTGTCCGGTCGAATGGCATTTTTCACTTGACGTATCAGCTCAGTGTATGCATTTCTATGTTGTTCACCATTTTCATCGAGCGGTTTGCCAGCCAATCCGGATGTTTTTTTAACCGAATACCAAAAACTACCGATGCCCGAACGAACACGTTTCGGTTTATTCGTTTTGAATTGCCATGCAAAATTAAATCCATCAAAATTATAGGTTTTAATCGTTGTATAAGCGCTATTGATGAATGTTCCGAATGCGGATGGATTTTCCAAGAACTGATTGTAAATATCTTGATTTGGATCAGCACCACCACCAATACCCAACAACACCTTTAGCTTTGGATATTTATTCTTCAGATTGGTCACTTGACGATAAAGTCCTTGGCCGGCGTCTAAATCTAATTTCTCGTTTAATGACTTCAATTTACTGGTTGCCGGATCGATACCCGCCCATCCATACACTAATATATCACATAATGGAATAGCCGGGTCTAATTCCAATACTGACACTTTTCCAATGCCTGCAGTTAATGCATGAAAATATAAAAAACACATTTAAAACTTGTTTTGAATACTTCAATAAGAGAAAACAAAAACAACGACCTTTGAACTCTAAGATAACTTATTTTGCAACGGAAAATAGAAAGAAAAAAACCCATTTTGTTTGCTTATTCAATCCGGATTGCGCTTCAATTTGATAAGAATTTGGATTTTTTTTTCAGATTGCGATTGAAATACAAATGAAAATCATCTGTTCAGCATCAAAAAATTGGAATCATCAACACAATATTAATTGATAAACACGCGAAAAGAATGCGAACCAGATTCTTAAAAGTAATCAATATTAAGAGCTCCTATGTTAGTGTTGAACGGTTATCAAACACTTTTAAGTCAATGTCAAATCAACAGAAGACTGACTCGTTAGCTTAATCATTGTTGTTGTTGTAAATAATACTAAAAAAAGTGTTTATTCACCTTCTCGAGTGATGCTTGTACTGTTGTATACACAAATGACCTTTTTTTCTTCACCACCAACAGCAGCAGGTCTACCTGAAGCAACACCACTGGTTCTTCTGCTTGTATAAATTTCATGGATTACAGCATCAACGATGACCGTTGAGCTGATTACGAATAGAGCAAATATCCAAATCTTCATTTTGGGCCCTCCTCAGCTTATCAGAAAATGTTTCTGCGAATGAAACAAAAATGACCAAGCATTTTATTTTAGCATTTGTTTGTTGTGAACGGTCAAAACAATTCTTGAATTAATTCACAATGAGATCATCAGTCAAAACATGTTTTCAAAGTGAAGAATATAAAGTCAATAAAACAGCTAGGTCAATAATAACACTTACGAATACACTAGTTCTGTCCGATGATCACTCGGCTAAAATCCAAATTAAACTAAACGAATTTGTTGTTAAACCACATCATATATAGCAGGAGTTCACTGAGATTGCGGCCAAAAAAAGAATCTTAACAGAGTGATAATTCTATGTAGATGACATGCTAAATAGCTAACAACACATATATAGAGTATATATATGGACGCTCTATTCACACAAACAAATAACTTTTATCAACTCACACGTATGAACGCATGAGTATATTTGAGAACCACGAAATTTCGTTGATTCCGAAATGCCACTCATACATTTGTATAGCAATGAAATGCAGACTCAAGAAAAAATGAGATTAAAAGCGACCTAGATGTGATTTTTTTAAAAAATACTTCTTCATATGCGGACATACATTCAATTGATTTCGAAGCAAAAAGCAAGGGATTTAGTTATGTAATTTGTTGTCATAAAAAAATCGAATTCACTTGTTGTTTGATAATTCATCAGTAAATGTTTATTATTATTTTTCCTACAGAAACAATTTAATTGCACCCGCCGTTTGAACTCATCTCAAGAGAGTGCAGCAAAGATTACAAAGTAGTAGACACACCACAATGAGCACATTATCATTGAAAAAAGAAAGCCAATCTTTATTTCAGTCACTGGACGACACTATGACCCAAAGTACTATGTAGAACTGGAGGCACCGGTCCGGAACGATTCAATCCAGATCGTTTCAAATATGATCAAAATTTGAACAAAAATTACCAAACAATGCCATTCCTTTCATTTGGAGATGGGTCAAGAAAATGCATTACAGCGATCGATTGAGAAATTTTCAAGTTCAAATCGGGCTGGTAACAATGTTACATGCTATGACTTTTAAATGGTATTTAGAGATTTAGATTACCTTTTTTTGCATTATACTAACTAATTTCTGAATCGTTCCGAGAATATTTGTCCAAAATTGATTCATCGCTTGTTCTATGTTCGTCACGAGAATTGAATTTAAGTGAAATTTCTTTCTATTTATTTCTATAGACCGGGAAAAATGAATCTTCGCTTCTATTTTTAAAAAAAACTCTTCTTCATTTTCGTAACATGACTATATTCGTCGTTATTTGATTGTGATTCAAATGTTGGTGAGATAATATTGAAAGTTGTGATATCGAGCAGCTGCTAAAGCATTGAATATCTGATTTAAATTATGTATAAATGCATACAGGGAGAAACTGAAACTCTTTTTAAAACATCTGAAATGTTTCACATATTCAATAGGTGCAAAATCCTACAAGCTTGTTGTGGTTGTCTATTCGACGTGAGATGGCGCTATCGTAAAAGCCTTTCACTCAAAGTTTATCAATTCTCTACGGTACTCTAAGTTGGAAGGTTGGAATTTGCTTGCATATTTACAAAAAATCAACATTTTTACGTTTATTTTCATTTGTTTTATGTTCATCTTTATTTATTTGCATTTGCAGGGTGTACATTAAACACAGAAAAAGCAGTGATTCTGAGTTTCATCAATCAACATTTGACAAATAAGGTCAAAGTATTCCAACTCGTGGAATATCTCTTAAAACATTTAAAAACTCGCACAAGTACTCAATTAACTTGATCGTTTTGATTTTGTATAATCGAAATTCGATGGCCTCTCGTTGATAAGAAGCAAATATCACAATATTGTCTACAGCCACAGAATGCATACTCGCAAAATGTGCAGCGTCTTATTATTGTTGTGGGGTTGAAAATTTTGCCTAGACTAGTTTTCTTTGGTTGGTTTGGATATAGCTTTTGTATTGCCTCTCGATCGGTTTTGTGCAAACTCTCGACTTGATTGTATTTGCCATACATGATTGAGTCTTGCATTTCCGAATGATACAAACCCAATGCGTGACCAATCTGGAGGATTTAAAAAAATTCAATCATTGTAGTTTTCATTCTGAGGCAATTTTTTTTGAAAAGCTCAACAGATTATTACCTCATGAATAGCAACATTCAGAAGACTTGGACGCCGGAAAAAAGGCCAACTGAATGGTGAATGATCTGT